TTATTCACACCAGGTCTTCTATTTTAGCTAAGACTGCAAGAGAGAGAGACAGATAATTCAGGCCATCTGAGCCGAAAGCTGATGACCAGGACCCATGCCACCCAGATCAAAGGAGGGGCCTATTTTTAGAATTTGGAATGTGGGCCCTGCACACTTTTATATCTTCAGCCAAATGAAGATCGTGATGGATGGCTCAGACTAAACTGGGTCTTTGTCAGGCACTTTTCTTATTTTTAGGGAAGGGATAGATGAAAAAAGTAAGTTCTAGAACCCAGTTTCTGAAAACCACGGACCCTGAATCACAACACTTCCGTCTGGTCTTCTGAGGTTGTGTTAGAATCCAGGGCAGATGTAAAAAGCAGTTTTTATGCAACTTGCCCAGCTTGCTGCTCAACCTCCAACCAGGGCGAGTGACCCAGCCTCTCTAGGCACTGAAGTAACCCCATTGTTAAGGGGGATATGGTGTGAGGCTAATGAGGAAGCACCATAAGGTCCGGGAAGCCATGTTATGTAAAGATCATAAAACCGTGGCTCCAATCAACACATCATAGCAAACCTCCTTTGAGAAGGGACCTAAATTAGCAGTTATTTTTAGGGATGCTACTCCCAGAGTGCCCACAGCCTGGGTGAAGCCACATCCCCCATAGAAGCCACTACAGTAAGAAGTCTGGAGTGCACCAGGATCTAGACTCCTCCGCCCGACTCTGCCCTCCCCTCGGACTCTAATTTGTCTTGCCCTGTCTTCCACTCAGCCACACAGTGGTGCTCTGTGCTACTCTGTTTGGTGGCACTTAAATCTTTGAGTCAGTGGCCCAGGAAGTTCCAGAGGCTCAGATCCTACAGCTAAGGCTCTAGGAGCCTTCAGCTCCCTCCCAACAGAATTGGAGAACATCTTCCCCACCTCTGATCATCACCAGTGTCCCAAAGAGCAGATCTTGCACAGATACCCAGAGTCACACAGCTGACTATGTTGGGCTCACTGAGAAAGGCCCAAGACTGAAGTGGGCTCAGGTTTCAATGGAGGGAACCCTCCCAGTAGCCTGCTGGGATGATCCCTCCTCCTCTCAAGTCCTCTCCCACTGACATGACTTCTGTGTCTTTCTTAGCCATTTGCCCAAGGCCCACAAAGCCTGGTGAACTCACCAGCTCTGGGGTGGGGCCTTCCCTACTGCACAGATAGCTGTTTGTACACCTACGTTCCTCCTAGCAGGGCATAGGCTCATGCCCTTTTCATGATGTAGGATCTCTGGCCTCTTTCCAAATGAAATAAATACAAAGGATGCAGGTGATTTCTGGGGCTCTTTCCCTGACAGCTTGTTCCCCGATTCACTCCAGAGTGGAAGGACAAATCAGTGCTTCTTGGGCATGCGGTTATGAAGGGGGGCTTTGTAACGTGTGTGTGTGTGTGTGTGTGTGTGTGTGTGTGAGAGAGAGAGAGAGAGAGAGAGAGAGAGAGAGAGATCCCTGAGAGCAGCCCTTACATCCCAGCCCAGGTGGAACACTGAACAACTTCCAGAATGTGTTGAAAAAGGTTCAGAATGTGCTTGTGTATGTAAGCATGTGTGTGCACGCGCACACACACACACACGCGCGCGCCGTTAGTTATGGGTGGACCAACAGCTTACCCTATCTTGTATCTCTAATCTGGAGATCACACACCGGCCCTTACCCTTACTTCTATGTAGCTCTCTGGGCAGGCTCTAGCCATGACTGTAGACTCATAGAGCTCCTGCCCCCCGGGGGGGGGGGAAGGGCTGTAGAGGGGAGTCCTGCATGCGGCATTCACAGTTTCTCATCATCTCTGGGCATCTGAGCTGTAAAGAGAGTGAATCTTGCCCCTCTGGGGATAGGAGGTGTACCAGGTCAGAGCACAGGAGATGGACCATTTGCCCCCTGTCTATAGATAGTTGTGCATTGTAGTTTCCACTGCCTCAACACTCCCATAATTGGGTTGTGAGTAGAACTCAGACAGAGGACTCCTACCATAATTTCCCTTCCCGACCTTACTCAGAGGCACCCGTGGCCTCTCTCTGTGTGCCCCACCCCTCCCTGATAGGCCTCCTTCCTGCTTGGCTGAACCTGTTTCCCTGGTGCTCCTCCCAGAGGCCCTCCTCTCTCAGCCTCACCTGTACCTGCTCCCCAGCTCCTGTCAAGTGCACACCACGAGCCTGAGCAGCTCTGTGGGAGTGTGAGGCCTGAGTGAGTGAGCATGCGCAGTGCCAGGAACAGGGCAGATGGCAGTGCCTTCGCAGGGTTGGTGGGGTGTGAGGAGCAGCCGGTGGTGCTCAGCGAACAGCGGCCATCTGTGTCGCCAGCAAGCTTTGCCTAGTCAGCAGAGACCGATTCCCAAGGCTGCTGGGGACACCTCGCCCCCCACCCCCAATGGAGATGGGTGGCTGAGTCAGAAGCTGGGTCCTCAAGGGACAGTGTCTGCATTCCTTCTTAGGCTGTCAAGTGAGAGCGCTGGTTTCCCCAGCAGACGGCTCCTCCTCTGCCTCTTGTTCCCTGAGACGCCCTGCAAGGCAGAGTCCATGGTAGACAGGAAGGAGGCAGAGGGCTCAGCAGCCTGCCTTCCTGTGACAGGGCCCAGGGGCCAGGGACAACTGCTCACCTAGAACCTCAGGCCTCTCAGAGAACAGCAGGGCACAGACCCTGGAACTGAGCCCGAGAAGGAACAAGGTCTTTCTTTAGGCCCGGAATCTCCATCCTTATGAGACTCAGTCCCCACAAGGGCTGGTCGCTGGAGCACAGGACAGTTCTCTGCTTGAGTTCTTGTAACCCAGTATCTTTCTTCAGCTGAACGGTCAGATCTGAGACATGCCAAAGACTCTCAGGGACCTTAGGCGGTTGACTCTTCACCATCTGTTGGAGATGGAGTTGGCCCCCTATATCCATGGGGTCAACCACAGCCTCAGGTGGCAGTGTGGGAAACAGGCCTGCTGTGGTGGCCTATATGTAGCATGCACAGAATGTTATTGTCAGCCCTTAACTATAAGGCACAATTATTTGTGTGGCATTTGCACGGTATTTGGCATTATAAGTAGCTAAAGATGATGTTTGAAGAGATGGAGTGTGGGTATAGGCTATATGTGAACACTGTACCATTCCACATAAGGTGCTTGACGTCTCCCGTCTCTAGGTGTCTGTGTGTGTAGTGGAGTGGAGGAGGGGATGTCCCAGGACCAGTTCATATGGGCTTCATGGATGGATGACCATGCTCTTGCCAGGCCATATGGGGGATGATCAGGCAGGCTGTGGCTGTTTCCCGACACCCCTGCCCCCCTGCTAGAAGGGGGCTCTGAGTATACATCCTAAAGGTTGGTCCTTGGTAGAACTTTAGCCTACATATCACCGGGTACCCTGCCAACACCCTGGCTCCAGGCTCTGCCCCAGAGCAAAATGAAGGAATTCTTCAAAATGGGAGCACCATCCAGCTGGGCCTGCACAGAGCAGCTTTTCTATCCAGGCCAAAAACTAGGTCGCTGCTTTGAGAGCTGCTGCAGGGGCCAGGCCTCAGGTTCCCCTCTGTAACCCCTGCCTCTCACTCCCGAGGGTGAATGTAAGATAGACGTGCACAGGCTATGATGGATATCGGGGGTGGGGTGCAGGGTGGATATAGGGGTGCTCAAGAGCCCTGTGAAGCTTCTTCCCGTTGCCTGCTTTCTTTCAGGTTCAGCCTGATTTCTCTTTGAGATTTGTGTCTAGCCTGCAGCTTAAGTTTCCTTGGAAAAAACCCAGGCATTTTTCAGTTTTATCTGTTTTTTTTTTTTTTTTTCTCTTCTGAGAAATTAGGCTTGGTCTGGGGGCGGGGGATACAAAGAGGCCACTAGTCACAGCCAAAGTGTGCCAGAGAGCTGGGTGTGTAGAGCCTGAGAGGGCCTCAGCCTCAGGGCCTCTGTTGGTTCCTCCCTGGCCTCTTCCCTAACTTTGAGTAGCTACTATAGGTGTCTCCCCAGACCCCCAGGGAGAAGCTGTCACAGAACCCACGGTGCCAACAAATGCCAGCCATGAAGTACTCGGCAAATGATGAAATCAGTTAAGCCTTTCTGTGGAACTGCCAGGAGTGCATAGCAAAAGAAAAAAAAAAAACAATCTAGAAATCCATAGAACAAAGGACCTGAACTTTCAACAAATGGAGTGGGTGGTCACCCACAGAGATAGAAAGAGACATCGGAGACAAATCCCCTGGTTTTAACACACGGGCCTAATTAAACAAACTTAAAAGAAACAACACTCTGTGGGTTAGCTAGAGGATTCAGAAACTACTGCACCACTTCGTGATATTAAGGACTGAACATTGATCACTTTCAGCAGAAACAACGGACCCTTAGGCTTAAGAACCATAGAAACACAGATGGCACCATGTCTGGGGCTGCTTTACAATAGAGGGCAGGGTGTGTGGGGAGGGTGTGCACCAGGTGAGGGTGGCCAGGAAAGGGCAGTGGTGAACTATCAGTGATGGGACATAGACGGTCACTATTGCACTGTTTTCAGTCTTCACTTACCTGTGAAACTTGCCTGCTGAAATCTAGAAGGGGAAGGAAGAAGAAATGGGGAGGGGAAGAGAAAGGAAATGGGGGAAAAAGGGCGCAGAAAGGGCAAGATGGAGGAGGAAGGAGGGGCAGAAGAAGGAAGAGGAGAAAGGGAAGAAAATTTAGGGAGGAAGAGGAGGAGAAAAGGGGAGGAAGAGAATAGGAAGAAAAAGGGAAAGAAAAGAAGGGAAGGAAGAAGAGGAAGAAGCAAGGCCTAAGCAGTTGCTATGGTAATTGCTAAGGCCGACCTCCTGGCTCAGGTCCTACATTCCTGGAGAGCATGGCCACCACACCCCCCACAGAAGCTGTCCTGCTCTGACTCTCTGGTATCCTCAGGGCCCTGCTCAGGCTGGTAAAGCCCACGTGTGTTGCTTCCCTGCCCCCACAGAGCACAGACCTACACTCACTCTCCGTGGAAGGATACTAACTGTGAAGAGGGTTTCCACAGAAGGACAGAGGGACACTCACTGTGGAGAGGCAGCTCCTCTGCTCCCGGAGGATGGCACCGAAGCCCAGGAAGCCAGTTGTCATGACAAGAGCACCAGCGAAGATGAGGATGTAGGCAGAGGCAGCAAATGTGCTGGAGGCCAAGATGCTGAGGTACCCGCTCTTCTCCACCAGTGTCCAGACACCCACAGCCATGACAGCTGCCCCACCTACCTGCAGAGACATGAGACAGATCAGCTTTGCCAGCTGCCACCTCCCTGGTGCCCACTGGGCACCAGACCCTTTTCAGGCACCTTGTCAATTTGGCCTGATAGAAGAATTTCTCTGTTGAGCTTATAAATGAGCAAATCAGAGGCTTCAGGTGCTCAGTAGGCTCGCCAGCCACCGCCACCACCACCACCACCACCACCGCCGCCGCTCCCACAAAGATGCAGAGAGATTTTGAATCTAAGCCTGAGCTCCAATCTATGCTTTTTCCTGACCAGGCACGAAGACCCTTTGCCTTCCCCGCACCATTCTGGGCACCCTCTTCCTCAGAGCTCTCCTTGGGGCCTTTCTTGCAGGCCCATGTTCACATTTGGACAGTGGGTGAAGAAGAAACAGGCCCACGGAGGAGAGGTGGCCTGTCTGAGGTCTTGCTTCCAGGCGGGACAGACTCAGGGGTGATGCAGAGCCAGCATGTGTTCTCCGTCCTGCTCCATGGAGAGGCGTCCATGTTCCTTACATGCCTACACAGGATGTGGAGGGGGCTGAGTTTTCTTCTTCGCTAACTGGCATATTCTGGTTTGGTCCTGAGATGGGGCCGGGGTTAGGACCCTGCTCACTTGCTGGTCTGAGAGCTACTCCCGAGGGAGAGTGTCATGGAGCACAGCTAGAAGCTTGGCATCCGGGGGATCATGAGGTGCTCAGCATTTATAACCATGCGTGCACTCCAGGTGCCGCACATGGAGTAGGAGGGCCATTGGCCTGGGACTCGGGACTTCAGGACTTGGGAATTCTGAGAAGCTCTGCCATTGGGTCCTGGGAAGGTAACTTCTCCCTGCTCCTAGTCTCCAGGTCCTCATTTAAGAATGGGCCCTCTCCTTCAGGTAGATAGTGGCAGCTTCCTTAGAGGTCTTAGTGTGGCCAAAGCTAGAGAAGCCTGCTCCTGCGCCACCCCATCTCTGCTCATCCCTGGAAAAGGTTCCCCGTCTGTACCACAGTGACTCCAGGGTCATTTCCTCACTCTTGGTTCTGTGCAGTGACAGACCTCAGCAGGGCAATGCTTGGGGGTTCTTAGCAATTAGTGCACAACAGGTACCTACACCACGCAACTGACATGTACCCTGCCAATTTCTTGTCCTGGGGTAGGGCACATTATCTCCTCGTAGCAGATGAGGAAGGAAACTGAGGCCAGCAGAGGATAGCCGTGTGTCCCGGGGTGACTCCACTAGTTTCAGAACTGAGATTCAGGGCCAGGTCTTTTGAGGACAGAGGCAGGACTGTCCTTGGATCCCACGGAGTGGGTGTGCCTGCCCCTCTGCTTCTGCTGTTCAAATGGATGGTTCCTTCCAAGCACTCTTTTATCTCCACTGGAACCTCCAAGTGAGAGAAGCCGGCGTAAGGGCACCACACAGGACCGCAGCTGTGCTGCTAAATGGAGCTGGAGAGGCTAACAGTCCCCGTACCACACGAAGCACAGTTTCCCCTTCTGGGTTAACCTCTCTAAACCTCAGGTGTATCTTTTGATGAATGGCACCTTACGCTATACTTGCCGGCACAAAAACAATGGCAGGGCCTACAAATCGAGCTTAGAGTTGGGAATCCCAGGGTACACTAGACTTCTGGAGTCCCCGAGGGTAGAGGTTATCCATACTTCCCACAATTCCCAGGAGCAAAGGGTTGGCTGCATCTGGGTGAATGAACCTGAACAGCTTCCGTGACCTCTGGGAATCCAAGTAGACTATCACCCCCATGATGCCCTATATAAGCATGTTGTCTAGAAGGCTTGAGGGAGGGTCTCGGCTCTGAACGACTCCTCGCTGGGAGATGGAGATGATCCTTCAATCTCTTTAGTCCTCAGTTCTTCATCTTGCAAGTTGAGGGAACCTCATTGGATTGGTGGTTCTAATGTACATCTACTAAAGACCCCTTTAATTACTTTCTTCCAAGGATCTTGAATTTTGAGGTCTTTGCCTAACAAACATGGTGTATTAACTAAGAAGTAACTAATCTTTCTCTCTATCCCCGCCTCCTCCAAAACAAATTAACCAAAGGCAAAGGATACTGCCAAGGAGAGTTTCTGAATAGTGTGAGGCAGGCAATGTGACCCTGATGAGTTATGACATCATCAAAACTCTGAGAGTCATGGTGTTTTGTGGGTACAATCTCTGTGTGGAAATGGGCACACCTTTTCTATTAGGTGAGTTAAACCAGGGAGTAACCTGAGCATCCATATCTGGGAGTCTCAGAAGGACAGGTGCAGACTGGCCTGGGACAGTTAATCTGCTGGGGGTACATGAAACCACTCAAAAAAAAAAAAAAAAAAAAAAAAAGAATCATTTGTCACATAAAATTTGGGATCTCAAGTTTCTCTCATGTCCTCAGAGTCATGGCTGCATAATCACCTGGGGAGCTATGAAAAACCAGGGATGGAGCCCAGTCGGATCAGCAGCACCCCTGGGAGTGAGACCCAGGCAGGGACCTTTTAAGAAGTCCCAGATGCCTCTTTGAGAATCACAGCACAGGTCCAAGCATTCCACCCTTTTCTTGCCAGTAGGTGGCACTGTATGAAGCCCTGCAGAACACAGCTTCTCTAGGTCTTGCCCCAGGCGATGTAGACTTCGGATCAGGGCTGGCTGGAGCTGAGGGCTTTGTCCCAGCACTCTCAGACCTTGGGAAGTATCGGATCCTGTAGAAAAGCTGGGTCCCCAGCCACAACATATGGTCTGGGAGGGATCTGGAGGGACACCTGCCTGATCAAAGTCTAGAAGACAAGCTGGGTCTGATAACCCAAAGAAAGCAAGAGAAGAGTGTGAATCAATGGGCCTGAGACCCTGAGGTCACCCTCCCCAGAGTTGCAATGCATGGAGAAGGTAGTTACTGAGGGGTCAGCACCGTAACTAGGCACGAGGAACAGAGGCCTTACATCCTAAAGGGGCTTTGATTTCCTGAGTGTGATTCGGTTACCTTTGAACGAGAAGTAAAAAAGTTCAGTGTTGACATGGGTCACCAGGTGTCACAGGAAGGCAGAAGCCAGCGAGACTGGGCCAAGTTCTTTTGGTTGTATGGTTTGCTGTGTGATAATGGGACGACTTCTTTAGGTCCCAGTGCCTTTATCTGTAGATTGGGGTACTGGGGGAGTGGGCAGGGGTGGAGTGCTGACCCCAGATCCCATTTCCCCAGCTGCTTGCATCACGTTGGTGCTATAGCACTCGGCTCTTTATAAGACAGAGATGGCTTTCTGTCAAATCGTAACTGGATTTCTCAGCCATGGCTTAAAGCCAGTGGGCCAGAAAACAGCGTGGGAGTGTGGGTAGGGGGGAGATAGACAAAGACACAGCAAGACAGGAGGGGCAGAGAGGGTCACCCACACAGGTCATTGAAGAGTAACTCTGACAAAATGCTGTGTGTCTGGTCCAGGGCACTTGGCCTAGCATGAGCAGCCATCCTTGCCCAAGGCCTGATGGAACTAAGATGCAGACCTGTAGAAAAGCAGGCAGAGGGTGTGAGAGCAATCATAGGATTTTTCTTGGTCAGGACTCATAGGTAGGGTTTCTCTGCTGGGGACACAGGAAGGACAATGAGGCCTCTAGGAAGGACTCCGTCCGTGGTCTGGGTTCTCTGTCCTCTGTACTGGGCAGCCCATGGCATGGGAAGGCAGGAAATACGCAAGATGATGGTGTGTGTGTGTGTGTGTGTGTGTGTGTGTGTGTGTGTGTGGTGGGGAGCAGGGGCCGAGCAGAGCTGCTCACTACCTGCTCTGTGGCATTCTAGAAAGGTTTGTAGTTAGGTAGAAAGGCTGGCCCATTCAAGTCCACACTTCTCCTTCATTAATGGTCCCTGGGTGGCCTCTTCCATGACACAATCACTCATGTACCCAGCAGCCTTTGCAGGGGCCCTGATGCCTCTCTGTTAGACCCACTTCCCTATCCTTACTGTACTGTCCTTGGCTCCAGTCCCAGGTCATCCTCCAGCTCTTGTTCTGCCCCCTTTCTAATCTGCACATCTTCCCCAAAACCAGAGCCTCAGGCCCAGGCTCCCCTACATTTGCCGGGAAGCCTGTAAATATCTGCCCTCACATGATTGGCTTTCGTTCCTTCGCACCCTGGTTTTAATGGCCACTTAGAAAGTGTTCACAATTTTTTTTTTCTATTTTTAAAATTTTTTTAATGTATGTTATGATATGTATGGAGGGTGTATGAGGATGTGCATGCTTGAGAGTGTGGCTTCATAGCATGTGTATGGAGGCAAGAGGTCAAGCTTGGGTGGGGTGTTGGGCTTCTTCTTGGCTAAGGCAGGGTCTCGTTTGTCACTGCACACGCCTGGCTAACTGACATGTGTCTGTCTCTCCTCTTGTTGTAGGTGTGATGGGATTGTTGACCATGCCCTACTGTGATTGCCTTTACCTGGGTCCTGGGGATCTGAACTCATTTCCTTATATTTGCACGGCAAGTACTTTGCCATCTCCTGATCCATCTCCTAAGCCCACGGCTGCTGCTCTTGAACCCACTGTCAGCGCCTCTGAAATAAGTGAGCAAGACTGTGAACTTGGGCAAGGCGATAAGGTCTGGATCCCTGGACTATTGGCCATGTGTATCCGGATACACTATACTGCCAGTCATCTGGCTCCGCGTTTCTCATCTCTTTCCTTCCCATCCTTCTTACACTAATTATTCTGCACATTCCAGAGATCTTCTTCCAAGCCCATTAGAAGCATGCACCTACTTCCAGCTCAGCAGGAGAGCTCTGTACCCCTTTCCCTGGCAGCACTCTGCCCACCCCCTGCTGGCATGCATGAACTCCATGATGGGACTTAGGCAGACGACTGTGGTCACATCAGCCTCTGCCTGCCAGACTTCCTGGGGCAACAGCAACAAAATGTTTTTTGCCCCTGTTTCCCTTTTTTTTTTTTTTAGAGGGATAACCTGCATCTCAGCAGGCATGGGAGGGGGTGAGCATCATAGATCATAAAGGGACAGGAAGCTGCCTCTGCATCCTGTTAATAATGTCAAATATCAGGTCGGCATCTCTGCTAGCCCTGCCTATGTGGGGATCTCATTGGCTGCTGGCTCTGTACCAATTCTGTGGGACCAACTTTGTAGGGATGGGCTTGTTATAGGCAGGTCCAGGGTGACATTGTACCTGCTGGCATGTTCTTCATGGCTATTTGGCTTTAAGTATCTCTCGGTGAAATAAATTCATACATCTCTGATCCTTTTATCTTGAACCTCATCTGCCCTGATACGTGCAAAAACCTCAAAGGACATGGAGGGTTGGAGCTGGGAGGGAGGGTCGTGTCACTGGCTCAATCTTCCAAAGACAGAAGAAACCTCTTTGGAGCCTGGTGCACCCAACACCCAGCAAATCTTGCTGTCCTCCCTACCATCACCAAGCCTCCTGTATCTTTCTATAGTTACACTCCTCACAGGAGGAGTGTTTTGCTCACACCACACTGAGTGTCACCCTTTTAGCCTCTTGATTAATGCCAGAGTGCAGGGCAGCTGTCTATAGGGAAGGACAAGCAGAAAGAACAGAAAGGACAAGAAGGAAAAGAATCAAAGAAGGAAGGAAAAGAGGAAGAAAGTAAAGGCCGGCAGGGAGAGAGGAAGGAAAGAAGAAAGGACAAATAAAAGGAAAATTCCAGAGTCTAGAGGGAGGAGTCAGGGTCCATGCAGACGTGACATCTTTATGGCCACACACTGAGGTGCTGACAGAGTGTGGCCCCGAGATCCAGAATTGATGCTGTCCCATTGGATTGGATGCTGCCGCATTGTGAGGTGGGAAAAAACTCACCCCAAATAGTTCCACCCAAGGCCCTCAAACAGCTGCAGCACCTACAAGTCCTCCTCGGGCACAGGAGATGGCTTTCTCATAGCTTTCTGGAAGAAGCCCCTTCAGTTAGTGGTCCGCCCACCATGCACTCTAGCACCTGAGGCCTCGAGGGGCTGGGTGGGAGTGAGTAAGTGTCGGGATCTCAAGTGGGGGTCTAATAAGGGCATATTCTCTGACCCCCCCCCCCATGGGTGGTGCTCACGTCTTCCATTTTTCTTTCTGCTCCCAGCCACTGTGTGTGTGTGTGAAGGCATGCACACCCACACATACTCCGAGGCCACAGAAGGACTCCAGATGCTCAACTCCTCCCTTATTCCCACGAGGCAGGACCTCTCGTTGAGCCTGGAACTATCCCACAACAAGCTCAGTGATGTTCTTGTCTCTCCCCGCCCCTCCCCCCCAGCTGGCTCTGGTCTTCGTGCTTGCACAGAAAGTGCTCCCACTCACTCGAACATCTCCGCCGTCTCCCGTGTTTCTTTAAAGAACACCCCATTGGTAGCCCCACAGCCTGGATAGACCCCTAGGCAGGACGGGCTGTGAGCAGAGGCAGCATCCTCAGACTCCTCCCGTAGCCTGGCAGAGCTTCTGGGAGGTTGGGGATGTTTTGATTATTGACACAGCCAAGCAGCTAATTAAAATAATAAATTAGAGAACAACAGAGGAGGTGACGGGAGCCGTGTAAGGAAGGGGAGGGGGGAGAAAAGTGTCTCTTTGGCAGCCACGCAGGAAAGCAGGGCATGCTTGCTTTTCAGGGTCACCCAGGAGGTATGCCAATGGTGGCAACTGTGACCCCTGACCAGAGCTAATCCAAGGAGGCCTCAGGGACAGGGTGATGGGAGAGGAAGCTCCTGAATCTCATCCAAGGTGAGTAGAGTGGGGTCTGCCCTGCTCTTCTCAGATGTGGGAATGTGACCCACTCAGGACTGTGACCCGTGTGTAATAATGACAGTGCTATTGACAGAAAGGTCTCAGAGGGCATCAGGCCTCCCCCAGGCAAGCTTAGCTTCAGAAGCAGCGTTCCGTGTGAGCATTCCTTGTTCTCTACCCAGGTCCTGACTCAGGAAGCTCTAAGTGCAATGCTGGGAATGGGGGAAGCTGAAGAGGGGGCAATCACCAGTTCACCCCATTGCACTAACAGCAGGGCACCAATACAGGCCACCGGTTGTGGTAGAAATCGCCACAATAGCAAGTTCTGATTCTCACAGTTCTGACATTCTCACTCCACATTTAAAAAAAAAAATAGTGAGAGTAAATGAGTTGCCTAGCAGCTCAATGTTTGTGGTGGTTTGAATGAGAATATCTCTCATAGGCTCACATGTTCGAATGCTTAGTTCTCAGTTGGTGGAACTGTTTGGGAAGGATTAGGAGGTGTGGCCTTGTTGGGGGAGGGCTATCATTTGAGATTTCAAATTTCAAAGCCCACCCATTCCCAGTTAGCTTATCTCTGCCTCATGCCCGTGGGTCAGGATTTAAGCACTCAGCTACTGCTCCGGCCCTATGCCTGCCTGTCTGCCTGCTGCCATACTGTGCACCATGATGGGTATAGATTCACCCTCTGAAACTGTAAGTCCCAAACAAACTCTTTCTTTTATAAGTTGCCTTGCTCATGTTGTCTCTTCACAGCAATAGAGAAGTAACTGAACCAACTGGTGACGAATGAACTTGGTCAGCCTGGTCCCCATCTACACGGCGAGGACACTAGTGGCACTGAGTACTGAAGTTGAACAGAAGGTCACTGGGGCTCCTCTGCAGTCTCTCAATGCTGAGCATCATGACCACCAGAAGGACACCCTGGGCGTTTTGCTCCACGCTGGCTTTTGGCAGAGCCCTGCAACGTGGACCCACACTCAAAAAGCACTTTGCATTGCCCAAAGAGGGACTTTGTGTTTCACTGAATGTCTAGCCTGGGTGGCTGGGCCCTGCTCTGTGTCAGCTTCTGTGTTGGAGGGTGAAAGGACAGTGGGCAGCAGGCTGGACGATGTGGAAAGACGCCCCCGCCTCATCGCCCTGCGCTGTGGTTTCTTCAGGAAGGCAGAGCTGTGGTGACCCTATTCGAGACACGCAGACATTGCTCCATCGTGTGACCAGGGTTCAGGTAAGCCACAATTGGACTTTGGGTGTATCTTCAATAAGAGGGGACTTCCTTTGTGGGGAAGAGTTTACTTGATAGATCATGGACTTCCAGGTCTCTAACTGAGTAACAACTGCTTCTGCTGGCTGACGCTACTTCAAACTGCGTTGCTTTGTTCTTTCACCCTGGGAAACCAACACGGTAAAAAGTGGGTAATTAATTGTTTTATACTTGTCAGTGTTTTAGAGATTATCCAGAGTGGGCACAGGAGACTTATGGTCAGGGGAAAAAAAGTCTTACAAAGAAAAGTTGGGCCCAGGCATGGTGAGTCAGGCCTGTTATCCCAGTTAAGGCTAAGAGAATTGTTGCAAGTCTGAGGACAGCCTGGGTTACAGTATGAGACCTATCCCAAAAAAATAAAAATAAAGAAGAAGAAGAAGAAGAAGAAGAAGAAGAAGAAGAAGAAGAAGAAGAAGAAGAAGAAGAAGAAGAAAAAGGAAGGTGGAGGGAGGGAAGGAGGGAGAATGCATGTTCAGCAAGAATTCTATACACCCTAAGTGATTTATCTGAGGGTCAAATCTGTGCCTGTGGCCTAGTTGTCAGTCCTCAGCCACAGAGTTTAATTACCCAGGATCTGTACCCCTGGGCCTCCCTGCTCCAGAAAACTCTTTTCTAGGAAGATCAAAGCAAGTTATTTTCTTTTTTCTGTTCTCAAGAACTTTGCAAAAACACATTTAAGCAAACACTGTGTCTATCATTTTAATAGATAGTATCTGATGCCATCAGTTTTCTCTCCACTTTGAAACCCACCCTGAGCTGCTGTCTTGGCCAGGAAGGAACTTGGAACCAGTGTGACCTTCTGTGTTTTTAGGGTCCGTCTGTGTTTTTGAGTGTGTATGTGTGTGTGTGTTGGGGTGGGGGGGTAGTTATCCCTTACCTGATACCGGGAGGCCAGGTCAGTTTTAGGGGGCATTTTCAGGCTTAGAGGCTAGGGATGATCTCCAAACTATAGCTAAGGAAGCAGGCTCAGACATCTAAACTACGTCTTCCTGGGCCACAGCGTCCACAGCTGCTGTGTTCCTGCTGACTACAAGCTTGCCCTCTTAGTCTTTGCCACACCCAGTAGGACCACAATATGAAACACACAATCAACAAACACCAGATATGGTGGCAAGCCCCTATGGACCCAGCAGTTGGGAAACTGAGGCAAGATGATCACTGGTTCCACATCGAGGCATCGTCTTAATAAATGAATTAGAATAAAAGGCAACACCTCTATAGACCACCTGGGGACTGATGGTATTGTGTTCCCAATTAGCCAGGTAATCAATCACCCCTGGGAAGCAGAGGCCATGCTGCTGTGGGAAACCTCTGTCAGGAGCCATAGAGACCATCCCTGTTACAGTGCAGCTCTGAGACCATGGCCAGGCAAGGCCGGTGGGTGTCAGTGGGGAGGGGGCATCATTTCAGCAGCCAGGAGAACAAGGGCACCGTGTGTTGGTTGCAGGGAAGGTAAATGAGGCTGCACACAGACAGTTCGGCCTGGATGTGGTGCCGTGGACTCCACGAGAGAGAGATGCAGCCTAGATTCCTCCCTGCCTCATAGCCAGAGCAGGGCTGGCTCTGAGCTGAGGGTCAAATCTGATGATGAGCCCCCTGCACGGTCTTCACCTTGGGAGAAGTCAGCCTTGGCAGTGACTCAAAAGTGAACGTGGCCAGACTGCAGCTGTCAGGTGGGGTATGCCACGGCCCCCACTTACCCAGAAGAAGAAGTTGAAGATGAAGAGTAGGTACTTCAGGTGGGCCAGCAGCCAGTCATCCTGCTCTGTCTTGCACTGTGCCATGGCGGCTGGGCCTGTGGAGGACACAAGCATGCTGGGTAAGGGGACACCACAGGAGTCCTTGGTGTTGTTCCCATCCCAGTGGGCTTCACCGGTGGGACTGAGGCTGGGGCTCTGGGTGTCCAAATATAACTTGGACCTCAAATAAAGAAGGTCAACATAAGCCAGGTACGGTGGCGCACGCCTGTAATCCCAGTATTTGGGGAGGCAGAGGCAGGAAGATCTCTGTGAGTTTGAGGCCAGCCTGGTCTACAAAGTGAGTCCAGGACAGCCAAGGCTACACAGAGAAACCCTGTCTCAAAAAACCCATACCCAAACCCAAAACAAACCAAAACAAAAAGTACAACCTAAGGAAGGCCAGTCTGAGTAGATTTTTCTAGGCTTTTGGGTCTCAGTGTCCAGAGTCCTTTGTCTCTCCACCCTGTCTCAGTACCACTGCTGTGACTCTCAGGAAGATCCGTGGGCTTCTCCAGGTCCATGGTCTAACTAGGCTTTGGGACATAGTGTGTGCTCAGTAAATGGGAACTTCACTCCACTCCCCATCTCTGACTCGGCATCCTGTCTGGCTCTGAGCCCTGGATGGATGACCCTAGAACTGTGAAAGCAGTGGGGCTCCAGAAGGCCTGCTGGGCATTGGCCCTCTTTGCTTCTCAGTTGGGACACAGCTCAGCAGGTAGTTTCTGCTCCTGGGCTGTGGCAAGTTACTTAACCTCTCTGTGCAGCGTCACAAAGCCAGGAGGCTGGAAGACGGCCGAGGAGGTGTACTCTGTTCTCTCGGAAGAGACTCTTCACCACCTGGAGCATGTATCTATATCCCAGCCTCTCTTTCTGTGAGGTGTGGGTAGGGTGGCAGGCAAATGGCCTGTGAGCAGAGGGGGCACACCAGTTTCTTTCTTATCTATCTATCTATCTATCTATCTATCTATCTATCTATCTATCTAT